CATGTGCCACTCATATGACCTTGTCCCTTTTATCAGTTGCAGCTTCTTTGACCCTCCCACCCCGCACCTGTCACCCGTGCTGGCGTACTACCAAGGTATCAGCACTGTGCACTGGATCATTGTCTTCAGCCTCACCTCTCTTACACCGAGGATGCTGTGCCAATCCTTTATAGATACTGCACCCCAGCACCAGTGCCCCTGCCCCTGGGCAAGTCATGACACTTCCACTTCTTATGACTCTGCACCTTTGCCTTGCAGCAGGGAAGTTTGGAAACTCAAAGCTGTCTTTTGCTGAATTACCTAGTAGTTGATGAAGTTACTTAAGTCCACTAAAATATTTCCTCATCTGTAAAACAGGAATAATAATGCTAGTATACAGGTTGTTGCTAAGATTAGCATCTGAGACTTTTTAGGGTTCCTTGTGGTTGCCAGTTTTAATTGGTAGGCTGTGTATTTATTTATTAGTTCATTTCCCAGTGGGGCCACTGGGCAGGAACTCTGGGTTAATCCAACTCGCACTGTTAGTGCTTCAGTCAAGCACCCACAAGTGCTCTAGTGGAAAGTGGATTCATAGGCTAACCTTTTCATCTCACAAGTGAGGAAACTGATCCTAGAGGCCAGCCATCCTCCTAATGTATCAAGTAAAGCCTGACGTGCTTCTCCAGAATGTCAGTCATTCCTTTGTAAATGATCACTTGAGTAGTTTCTAGTGTTCAGTGGTAGGCTCTGCCCTAGACACTCAGCATTTGTGATTATTGGAGGGTTAGGCTGGCACACTAGAAGTATGCATATTTACTATGTGTGATGAGCAGAAGGCGTAAGGTAGTTAGCAAATGTTTAGCAAGTGCCAATTATGTGTCAGGTACTGGCTTAGGTGTGCAAGCTTGGACATAGGACTTTGGTGGTAATATCAGGGAGTACTGCTGGGAGAAAGTGACATTTCAGCTGAAATCTGAGGATGACTGGGGTTGGGCAGGTAGAAAGGAAAGGGGCAACACAGAGCCCACCCGGCCTGGCCGCTTCTCTTGCACAACTCTTCGGCTAGGTTTGCTGGCCTCTGCATTCATCGCTGTCAGACTTTTCTCCTTAACACTGTCTTATTTCCTATTATTCTCCTGTTTGTTCTTGATTCCCTGTATAAAAGAGGAACTGACCTAATTGTTGGTGTGTTTTGTTGACCTTACTTGCTTTGCATTTCACAGCGAGCTTTCCTAGTTTCTTTTCCCAGCCATCTTTAGTGGGCACTGTGGGTGCCCCATCCAGAGCGCTTGAAGCTCACCATCCCTCGAATGCCAGAGGCTTTCTGCACATAGATATGACTCCACGCTCGAGGGTTTTTCTCTGGGCAGGGAATGCTGGGGTGTTACGTTCTGTACCCAGCCAAGCAGCACCCGTGTCGTTGTGTGGGACAGCTCTGGTGCACGTTCCAGATGGTTTCCTCAAATCCCTAGAAAATTTGAAGCCACTGACCTTGGTTTCCTCGAATCCCTAGAAAATTTGAAGCCACTGACCTTAATGGTAATCTGCTCATGCACATACCCTGGGTTGGCTTCCTTCCCTCCCTTGCCTGTCCTCTTCACTTCTTCCTGTACTTCCTGGCATTACTTTCAAAAGGAACTTGATGTCAAACCTTCAGCTTCTGCTTTTGAAGATCTCAAGTTTGGGTAAACTCGAAACCCTGCTTATTCCTTGAATTTTAGCTCATTGGAGAAAGATTAAAGCGGCACTGAAATGAAAAGATTTTTATAAAAGGAAAATATACAGATTTAGTGGGGGAAGGAGAGGAATAGAAATGAGAAAGTTGATTGCCCACTGCTATGTTAGGTTGTTGCCCTTGTGACAAATGGCCTGAGAAAAACAACTTCGAGGAGAAGAGCTTTGTTTGGACCCCTGGTTGCAGTCTGTGGTTGGCTGGCTCCATTGTCTTAGGTCTGTGGCAAGCCCGAACCGTCATGGCAGAGGCAAGCTGATCACCTCCTGGCAGCCAGGAAGCAGTGACAGAAGGCAAAGAATCCAGGAGGGGGAGGCCAGAGAAAAGATGTGGTCCCCAGAGGTCCTGCCTCTGGCTGCCTTTCTCTGGGCCCCACTCCTAACAGCCCATTCAGCTATGAGCTCAGTGGATTAATCCATGTATGGGTTTAACACTTTCATGATCCAATCAGTTGTCAAAGTCCAACTGGCCCTCGGGAACAGTTAAGATCCAGAGTGTAGTGGCAGCTACTTTACTTGTTACTTAATCCTCCTTCAGACATCGTTTAACACGCACATCATCGTACAGCTATGTGAGATAAATCTGTTTATCCTCGCTGCTGCAAAGGAAAACAGGCCCAGAGAGATGGAGTAACTTGCTGAAATTCACACACTTGGGGGCAGCATAGCTGGGATTCCTACCAAAGCTGAGCTTGCTCCGCAGTTCAGTAGTTTACAGACTGGCTGAGGGCTCTGCATACCTGCTAGCAGGGCGGCTGTATGCATCATAGTAAATTTTCAACCTATTGGAGTCAAACTATGTAAAGATGTGACTTTTTTTTTTTTTTTTGGCAGATCAACTGCTAGAATCTTGCCTGTATATGTAAGAGGCAGGAGAAGTCAGAAAAGGAGACATTTGAGAAAAGCTTTTCTTTTGACTTTTTCTTATTTGTTGAGCAGGCAGGAACTGGTTCGAGCACCTTTGTCCTCCATCCACATTGACAGTGGAAGAACTTGAGCAGCTACAGAAAGGTTATAACCCTGAGAAACCTCACTGCAACCTCCAGCTATCTTCGCAGTTTGAGGCCCAAGACTGAGTGGATAATCTCCCTTCATTCTTCTGCTCATACCTTTCAGGACTTCAGTCATTGCTTTAATTTTGTTCTCTAAAGAAGAGACAGGCAGGCTAGGGAGATAGCTCGGTGGTCTAAGAGTCTGCCTGGCAAGTGTAAGGACCTGGGTTTGATTCCCAGTGCTGCATCCCATACTAGCCCGAAACCCTGGGTACTTGGTGGCACACACCTGTAACCCCAGCACTACGGAGGCTGAGACAGGAGTTTCACTCTGAGTCTAAGCAGTGCAGCAAGTTCTTATATCAAATAAATAAATAAATGATTAAAAAAAGAGACAGAGAGACATTGATTGAGCAACTGCTCATCTCCTGCTCATTCTTCAGTAGAGGGTACCACATGCTCAGTAAATACATAAACAGATGACTGGGTTAGACTTTGAGCTAGCTCCTTGAAGTACGAAGAATGTTAAGAAAAAGAATAGTCCTCAGAACTTGTGGGCTAGTAGGAGCTGAGGATCAGGAAATAGTGAGATCATAGCACAAAAGAAGTCCTTGCTGATCCCATGCAGACATTCTAGGAGTTGGGGCTTTACGAGCCATTTGAGTTTAAATAGAGAGTAGCAGTGGGGAGCACGGGGCACAGAGGAGGCACTGAGACAGGAAGCAGATGATTCAATCGAAGAGCTATGGAATGCCTCAAGTGGCTGGAATCCATTTCCAGATAAGGAGCCTAGAAAAAATGCCTTGAGTCCTGGCATGAAGGCTTTGAACTCCGAGCTGGCAGCACAGACTGGCGTATTTTGGAGCTCCTTTGGAAAGTTCTAGTGGAGGGAAGGGTGTGATTGTCTTGGGAAACCTGTGGGGACACTGCTCGGGGCAGCTGCTGTCATGTTTGTCACCATCCTGATGCCGCGCATTATGCCTCCCGTCCCTGTGTGGTTCGCAGTATAGTGTAGATGGTCTATAGACGCTGGTGTTTTTAAACTAGGTTTGCGGGAAAAGGTTATCACTCTAGTTAGACAGTCAGGTGGAGGCAGAGAGACTAGAAAAGCAGGTTGTGAACTCATCAACACCAGTGTTTCGTTGGTGCCTACCCATTGACTTGGCCGCTTATTGTCCTGATCTTGTGGGCTTTTCTTGTGTGTATTCATAGGCGAGAGATTAGTACTTGTTGAATAGCTACTTAAGACTCGGTATTGTAAGACTAGGAAAAGTGGTCTTCCTGCATCCACCTTTCTACCCCTCCAGTCTGTCCTGAACACAATACCCAGCCAGAGTGATCATTTTAGAACTCCAGTGAAATCCTGTCACTTGGCTCAGAATGCTGTAGTTGTTCACGTGAGAGCCCACCAGCGCCCTTATCGCGCACAGGAAGCCTCCGTGAGCCTGCTGCTCCTGCCTTCCTGTGCCCCTCAGTGCCAGCCTCCTTGCCGTTCCTGCAGGCAGACATGCGTGCCCTGCACCTAGAACACACTCTCTGTACTCAACAGTTCACTCTCTTAGTGGCTTCAAGCCTCTGCTTAGTGGCCACTGTCTCCGAAGGCCTCCCTGACCACGGTTCAGACGTGGTTACCAGCCCCTAAACGCTCCATTCCCTCCCTTGCCTTGCTGAATTGGCTGTGTCCCGTCCTGCACTGTTTCTCGAATGTGAATGTCTGTCCTCCCTCACTGGCATGTTTGCCTCGTGAAGGTGAAATACTTGTCTGTCATAATGTTTGCTGCTCTTCCCTGCATACGTGAAGCAGTACTCCTGGCCACTGTAGTAGGGTCCCAGTTCATATTTGGGGAATTAACGGACTGCACCCTTGTGCTGCTGCTCCGTGAGGTGCGTGGACTTCAGTGTGCTTCCTGTACCCCTGAAAGGAGAGGGAGGAAGGCTTTGAGTCCACCCCAGTCGGGAACAAGGCCTTTCTTGTGACCCAAACTATCACAGTACTCTGATGGGCTGGAAGCTTGCTCTCTGGCCCCATTAATGTCCCCCCCTTGGCTGGCTGGTTTTGAAGGGAAGAATGATAAGAAAAGTACTCTTGGTTTTCTCTCTTCTTGCTATTAAGAAAATGAGGGACTCATTTCAGGGTGTGTAAACAGTGGTTTGGACAGCAAAGGAAACGTGACAATGAGACATTCAGTTGGTGTCAACCGCCCCTTTAGGCTAAACGTTATGTACCCTTTACATGCTAGCAAAGACGCACAGGCCTGACAGAGGAGATCAGTGCCAGGAAATTTTGTCTCTACCTAGGTGTTTCCTGGGACTCCCTCCCAGATGAGCTTCTCCTGGGGATTTTTTCCTGTCTCTGTCTCCCCGAGTTGCTGAGAGTCTCCAGTGTCTGTAGGAGGTGGTACCGCCTTGCGTAAGTACTGTTCACCCCTTTGGGTGGAGGGGGGGAAGCTTGTATATCCACTGCAGTATGGTAAAGCTGGTAAAGCTTAAACACACACACACACACACAGAGGCATGTATGTATGTGTGGATATAGCAGCCCTAAGCAGACTAACTATCTTCCTTAATTAGGATCCTCACCTCACAGCAGAAGAGAGGTGTTTGCTGAGGTATAAACACCTCCCATTCCTGACAGCCTCATTGTCCCACATCCATTTCAGCACCTGTGTTAGCCAGGCACTGTGCTTAGAGTGGAGGGAGTTCTGGGTGGCTGTGAAGACAGCTGTGTCCCCCTGGGGCCCAGTGGGCGAGAAGCCAGGGTTCTGGTCTCAGACCCCTGTGTAAGCTCAGCCCCTCCCACATAGGCCCTGCATGACCTGAGCAAATTCGTGACACTTCTGACCTCAGTCCTGTTGAAATGTAGACAACAGCAACTTCCATGCAGGGAGGTTACAGGACGCAGTATAAAGATACTGGAGTAGGTGCCTGGCTCAGAGGTGTGGTGAGCACCAGGAAAAGGCGAAGGTGTTCTTTGCTTGTATTTTGAAGTGCTTTTTTTAAATATGGCTGGTGAGCTGGAACAGTAATAAGCCTGATGCAAGGAAAACAAATCTTTTTTTTTTCCTTTTTATATGGCACTTAAGATGGAGCACAGGGCTGGTGTATGCCAGACGTACTGTGAGCCACACATATGGCCCAAAAACTGCTTTTAAATTGGAATTCTTTTGCCAGCTCCACCTCCTCTCAGCTCTACCTTATACCCTGGTCATTTTTGCTTCCTTTGGAGACCTTCCTTCTGACATCTCGCTCCACAGATCTAGATGTCCCTCAGGCCAAAGGAGCCCCTTGCCATGGCTGTGCTGGAAATAAGGCAGTATAGCGATCTGCTGGAGTGGGCTGTTTGTTTGCTTAGAAGACAGATTTGCACACCTAGAATGCAAGTGTCAGCTGAGTTGTCCTTATTGCCACCAAAGAATCCCCAGTTTATTTCCTTTATCCACCAGCTGTGTATCTGTCCCCTCATGAAGAGTCTGTTTACTTTTTTTTAAATGTTATTTATATTTAAGGAATGCATGATGTTTTGATGTACATTCAGTAAAATATTTACCAAAGCATAGTAACATACCCCCCATTTCACATAGCTGCCCTTTTGGTTAGAAAAACATCTAAAATATATTCTTTTAGCAAAAAATCCCTAATACAGTGCAATACTATTAATTAACAGTGCTCACATAACGCAATAGGTCAGAAGACTGGGCGGTGCTGTATGTCTGCTCTTTTGCACGCCGTGCTCCACATCTCCCTCAGCGAGTCCACTACTGTTCATTTTAGTGCCGTAAATGTCAGTTATAACTACGTGCCAGGGACTGTTAGCATTCAACGTTCCACCCAGTGGGAAGTGATAGCATTTCTGTTATCTCATTTTTATGGATGAAGATATTGCAGAGGCAAGCAGTAAAGCAGGAACCTAAGGTCTGGCCAGCTCTGCAGCTTAACCATAACTGATGATGTGCGACTGAGGATTCAGATAACTCCTGAATACATTTTACTGTGTATGGCAAAGATATATATATTTCAAAACTTTCCCAGATTGTCCTGGAATGCTGGGTAAGCTGCTGTTTGCCTTCTAAAAGGCTTAAAGTAAGGCATGAGATTTGAGATAGCCCGGGCATGACCTGGTATGATTTTCTCACAAGTTGATCTTGGTCTGGGCAAGAAACTACAAGAGTGCCGACTGTTGAGGATGTCATATGTATAGTCAATCTTTTCAGTAATAGGAGTCAAATCACATCCTGATACTTTTTAGCAAAATTATTTTAAATTTCAACTGTAGATAGTAGAAGACCCTGCTGCTCAGTACTTTTTTAGAACTTCCTTCTACTTTAGCAACACTGTCCATAATCTGATTACTTTTCCTGGTTCCTTTCACATTAATTCACACATGCATACAGACACACACATACATGAATACATGTATAAGGATGTGATGTAAGGTACTACAAAGCAGAGTCGCACCATGACTCAGTTTTCCTAGGACATGTCTCTAACAGGTATATCCTATAATAGTACTAGATTTTCTTCCCTCAGTTTTATTGGCATAATATTTTTGATAATTGAGATCTAGCCATGCTTAACAAGAATGGCAAGTAGGATTGCTTAGGGAAGTTTTGAACCCACTCACCTAGTACTAATTAATGAAGCAATTTGAATAGTCAATTTTAAGCTTGTTGTGTTGAATCAGATTCTAGAATTTTGTTCTCCAATTCTGGAACATCAGCGGTCCTAATTTTAGTACTGAACCAGCTAAATTGGAAACAGGTAAAAAGAAGGATATTTGTTCATGTTATGATCCCACATGAGAAGGAGCATAGTTGATTACGTAGGCTACCTGAAAACCAAAGTTTCCTTAGAAGTTTCCTTCAAGGATATTAAGCAGCTGTGTCCTCCGCGGTAATGAGCTCGAAGGCCTCCAGGATTCACTGTAACTGACTTACCAGGTCCAGCCCCTCTTCTCTTCTAGGTTTGATGAGTCTCTTTGGCAGACTCTAGACCTCTCAGGTAGAAATCTGCACCCAGATGGGACTGGTCGGCTGCTGTCTCGAGGAGTGGTTGCCTTCCGCTGCTCACGATCCTTTATGGACCAACCTTTGGTTGAAACTTTCAGGTACAAAAGAAAAATCCTTGGAAAAGACTTTACTTAAATATTGAGACAGAAACAGATCAAAATTTCTTTTATTCATGGTCTAAGTCAGGTCATCTGTACAGTGTGGGGTGTTAATTGTGTGTCGCACTGTGTGGCCCACAGGTTGAACATGGCACAATTTCTTTTAATCTTTCCTTATTTATTTGGTACAGGGTGTTGCTACCCAGCTCAGACTCATAGTGATCCTCCTGTCTCAGCATCCCCAGCACTGGGATTACAGGTGTGCGCCATCACACCTGGTTTCACCACACCTGGTTTCAGGGCCTGCAATACTGGGAATCGAACCTGGGTCCTTGCACTTGCCAGGCAGGCGCGTAGACTGCCGGACTATCTCCCCAGCCCCATGGCACGATTTTTAATGCCACTGTTCTCATTGTATTTCAGGATTACTTTTGAGCTCTTCTCCAGATCAAAGATGTTCACTGAAGGGGGCTAGAGGCGTGGCTCAGTGTTAGAGCACTGCCCTGGCATGCACGAGACCCTTAGCTCAAGCCCTAGCACTGTCCCCTTCCCCACGGTTCATGTAGCCCCTTGGGTTGGGTCCTCAGCAATGGGAAGTATGAATCTTACAAAGTAAAAAGGGCAGAACACTCATACACTCATTGGCAGGTAAGGGCTGCCCACTCCTTTCCTTATAATTTAGAAAGTGGGAGGTATATAGTTCGGGCTTTCTGCCCTGTCGTGGACAGAACTGCAACCTGAAAAAAACCCTCTTTGTCTTTGTTTGATAGACTTTTGAGAAACTGTTTGTCTGACGCTGATAATTATACACACTTAAGGTTTACTGCTAAATCATGTTTCAGCAGACTACTGAAAAGAAAAATAAGCTGAAGACAGCACAGTTAAGGGCAAAACAAAACATCTCTCTCTGCTATAGGACTTTTTCCCTTCTTTCCATTATCAAAACCTCCTCTTCCTCTGTTTTGTCTACTGCCAAGGTTGGTCCCTCTTTGTCTCCTTTACGCATGTTATTTCTTTGATCATATCACTGTTTATTACTTCTGCTTTTCTTTTAATGTCCACACTGTTGGTGGACAAGCTGTGTCCTGTATACCTACCATTTTACTTAGCACTCTCCTGCCTTTAGCTGTAGCTCAGCCTTCTCTTTCAAAATCATGTTTCTAATTGCCTTAAAACTTATCCCTGGGTTTTATCCAAATCAGTGTTACCATATCTAAAATTAAACGTGATTTCCCCTTAAAATTTGGGGCTGGGGAGATAGCTCAGCAGTCTAAGCACCTGCTTGGCAAGCACAAGGTCCCAAGTTTGATCCTCAGTACTGCATGCCATGCCGGCCCCAGAACCAGGTGTAGTACATGCTTGTAATCCCAGCGTTGGCAAGGCTGAGACAGGAATATTACTGAGTCCAAACTACATAGTAAGATGAGTCCAAACTGCATAGCAAGACCCTATATCAAAAAAAAAAACTTGTTCCTCCACTGTCTCCTACTTTAGTAAATAGCACCACTGCCTACTCACTCACCCCCACCAGAAATATGGAGTCGTTCTAGGCTCTATATCCTTGTATGTACTGTACCTAGAACTGTATTGATGGCAACGTATGTATGTGGCCAAAATCCTCTCAAATTGTAAAAAAACACTGAGCATGGGAATGGAAATCAGCTGGTAGCAATTTGTTTTGTTTTATGACCAGAACTATGTTCAATACTCAGAATGTGTATTAATGGTCTTATTTATGACTCACCACTCATTTGAAAAGACGTAGTAGTCAGATTTGACTTGAACAGCTGAGGCACCTCATAGAGCCTCTTTCTTTTCTTCTGTGTGCAGCCCTTTCCGAGTACAGCACATGGACCTGTCAAACTCTGTTATAAATGTGAATACCCTCCATGGCCTTCTGTCTCACTGCACCAAGCTGCAGAACCTAAGCCTGGAAGGCCTACAGCTTTCAGATCCCATTGTCAAGTAAGTACCAACCAGGGGGTGTTACAGAGGCGGCTGTTCCGCGTGTTAACTTCGTTCTGTGCAACTAGGGTACCATTCTGTCCATGTCCAGATAAACAAAGAGAATATCCCATTTCCAGCTCCTACAAAACTCTCCAGCATTCACTGGGAGACACCAAAAGTTTGGGCGCTAGCTATGTCCCAGGCCCTGTGCTAGGTACTAGAAATAAAAAGGTGATCGTGCACCGTGTGTGCCTTACTCATGCATGAGGCAGATAATTATAGTGCCCTGTGTTTGTCAAATGCACTGGTGATTATGTGGCAACACACAGGAAGGGCTAATTAAATTACAGAGGGCAGCCTTAGAGGCAGTGACTCAGGAGTTGGGTATTTAAAAACAGTCAGATAGGAGATCTGTGAGTGACAGGTCAGAGGAAGCAGCCTAAGTAAAGCTGTTTGGTTCCAGACTCTTAAGTAAAGTTAAAGTTGCTGATGCAACAGACTCAGGAAAGGGAGCGACAAGAAGAAAAGCAGATGGGCTACTGTGCCGGGCTTTTGCCAGATGAGGAGAGGGGCTCTAAAGTTAGGACACTAAAGTGTTCACTCAGGTAAAGAAAGATGAAACCTGATGTAAGACTAGCTAGTACCTTCTGTCCCACACTTACTGTGTGCCTTACATTAAGTTCTTTAGGTGTATTCCCATTTAGTTCTAACAGCAGCCCCTTTTTACAGAAGTGAATTTGGGGTGGCTGGATGACTTGTCCAGAGTCACACAGGTGGTCACCTCAAGTTTTGCATGGCATTACAATATGTTTCCAGAACTCCAGAATAATGGCTCTTAATCACTAAGTTTCCCTACATAGGCTATTTAGGAGGATAGCAGAGGAGACAGCAAATTTAAGAAATGTGTAAAGGGATGAGCCTCCTAACTTCACAAACAAGTTTATAAGCTGATTCTAGTAATGGTTGAAAGAGATACATGTTTATTGCACTGATTTGCTTTTAATTTAAAAAAATGCATTGATGAGTGTTTCTTGTGCTGGGTTGTGCTAAGTTCTTTATCACATTATATGCTTACTGTCCGTGTCCCTACCACGAAGATACTCCTGTTGCCATTTTACAGATGAGTCAACTGAAACACCCTGCTTGGTGTCACAGAAATGGCGTAATGTGAATTTTAAACTTGTATCTAACTCAGAAGGCCTCTTAATTACAGTTACAGCCTGCTTTCCTCCAAATGCTATTGGTTGAATAAGAGTGCTTATCAGTATTCCTGTACCTTTTTTTTTTTTTTCTAGTAATCTTGCACAAAACTCAAATTTAGTGCGACTAAACCTTTGTGGGTGTTCTGGATTTTCCGAATCTGCCCTGAAGACTTTGCTGAGCAGCTGTT